CTAGCATCGCTACTAGGAGCAAGAAGCTACTATTGTTGGGGGTCGAAGAATCCAAGAATCCCCCGTCAGCAACATGATGCCACGGAATCATTTGCTGCTCTGGCTCTGACACTCAAAAGCAACAGCCTCGACCGCTTCAGGCAAGCTGAACTCCAGTAAGTGGATCTGCTTAGGCCCCGTCTTGACCCACAGGTGCAAACGGGTTCGGTGACGTATGCCTAGGAAAACCGGCAATTGTTCATTGATCAAGCCCCACGTAGTCGGATAATTTCATGTTGTATATTGTATATAACTACGTCACTATGTCATATTGCTTAAAATCGAACGTTATTCTAAATATATTTGAGAAGTGGTTCTGATGGGAACTACTTTCACAGCTTCCTTTCGCAACAGTTTCGCCGCTTGCGTTTAAGCTTTCGGTGCATCCTGTGCGAAGCCAGTTTTGCAAGGAAAAGCGGACAAAGTTGTTTTTACTTTCACAAGCTTTTGCGCAATAAATATTTACACGACCGTGTGTTTACCTTTTGCAAAGGCATCTTACATCAATTTCTTTTCAAATTGTTAGGATGGTGTTGGGCGCTGCACATATATTGCTCTTTACAAATCCTTGTGTCATAAATGGTCACTGAGGCTCCCAGCCACAGGCAGGCTGTAAGCAACACGAGCCATTGGCCCATTGCTGCGGAGCTGAGCTTCTTCGAGGTCAACCCAGCGGTGTCTCTGTCACTGTCTCTGTCACTCCGTGACAGCGTACTTTGGCAAATACAGGTATTAGATCGTCTTGGACTCAATAACAATAGTAGTAATAGTAGTAACAATTATAATAAAAAGTACAAACTTTTGCATGGCGGGTCTTTCCATGGTTATATTCTAAATATTAACCGTGAGCGTGCCTAGCGACCCTTGACGAAAGAAACGCAGCGCTGAGATGCGCTGAGGAACTTGGCTGATCTGCAAATTGTCTGAATCTGCATGTCAAACATGTTGTCTCAATGACGTTTGTCTCATGTTGCTCCTAATTGTCCAAAGCATCTCCCCACTCATCTCTGTATCTGCAACTGCCAGGGTTTGTTGCAGTCCAAGGGAGACGTTCCACGGCGGCCGACGTGCGGAACGAAGGAATAAGAATGTCCTGCCTCGGCCCCACCAGGGGCCCGAGGCCAAGGAAGGGAGCAGATATCAACTGTGACGGAAACATCATGAAAAGTCCTTCTTCATGAAAGTAATAGCAATGACAGCCATCCAGCGCATCCTTTTTGCGGTCGCTGCTTTAAAGCAATACACCGCATGCTGTGGCTGGCGCCAGGACCAAAGGGAGTGAATCATCACCTGGACTTGAAACGAGGTGATTCCAAAATGTTCTAAATTAGCCCTGTTTATTACGACATCGCAACATAATGTTCAATATGCCTCTTTATGAACAAATCCGTCAAACAACCCTCTGTTGTGGCCTTCACATCTGATACATTCTCAACCACGACATGTCTTCCTAAAACGTCAATTTGGGCGACAGCCGTTCAAAAGATTCCAGTGAGTTTTGGATGCTTGGTCGGTTTGACCCCTCTTTTGGCCTCAGCCAACCTGGCTCGGAAGCAGTGACCTGTCAAATCCAGAGGCGCTGATTCATGTTTGATATAAACTGATTATATTCAACTGTGTTGTTGGCCGTATCTAAGATATGGTCAAGATAGAGGAGTATTTCCCTGCGTGTGGGTGTGGTGTGTATGTGCATGTGTGTGTCCACACCTGTACCAAAGGACGCCAACCAGTGCACGCTAACTCATTTTAACTCACCAGGCAGGGGGCACCTGAAGCAGAGATAGGGCAGGTGCCAACGAAGACACCTATCTCTTGCTTGTGATGTCGACGGGAGACGTCCTGTCGACGTACCTGCATTTGTAAAGGGCTACTGAGCGATGTTAAACAATTCTGGTTTCCGGACTCTTTCGCCTTTCCGTTCCCTCAGCCAAGGTCTAATTGAGTGTAAAGTGGAACTTCGTCAACTGATTTAGCTCTTGCGAGCATCAATCTAAGTGCGTTTCGCCACAGAGTCCCACTGCACGCTGTGGTGTGATCTTCAGCGAGGGGCGCAGCATATGCACATACCCTTAAGGGTGACTCCCCCTGATCCTTCCGATTGCACGTGATCTTGGTCGTGGACTTCATTGGACTCACTGTTTTGCATGAAAATGCCGATCCTATGCCGCAGGGCTTACTGAGATCAAAGTTCAGAGAATGTTATGACACGCCGCTAAGTATTCACATGCCATGCTGCTAAGTACTCATAGGCCATAGGACTTTTCGGTTCTTTCTCTCCTGCTGTTGCTCTTCACTTTCTAGGTCTTCTTTCGCTTTCTAGATGCTTTTTAGGTGTAATTCAGGCCTTTTAGTCAAGGGAGTGCCGGTTACGGCTTTTCGTCAGCGCCTCCGGGCAAGGACACCCCACACCCCACCCTACACCCCTCCGTTCGTTCCTTGCCTTTTTTCGTTTGCTTGGGCTTTCCTTCACGCTTGTTACGTCGGCGCTTAGGCTCGTTTAGTCAGTGCACGCCCTGCCCACACCCCCGCACCCCTTGCACCTTTCCTTTCTTTCCTTGCCTTTTTCGTTTGCCTTGTTCTTTCTTTCAGGCTTGTTAGGTTGGCATCCAGGCTCGTTTAGTCAATGCACTCCCACACCCTCTTCCCCCCCCTACCCGCAGACAAAAAGAGCGAGCGCCGAATTATGGCTCCGTGTGTGTCTGTGTCCACACCTGTACCAAAGCACAGGCAGGGGGCACCTGAAGCAGAGATAGGGCAGGTGCCAACGAAGACACCTATCTCTTGCTTGTGATATTGACCGTAGACGTCCTGTCAACGTACCTGCATTTGTAAAGGGCTACTGAGCGATGTTAAACAATTCTGGTTTCCGGACTCTTTCGCCTTTCCGTTCCCTCAGCCAAGGTCTAATTGAGTGTAAAGTGGAACTTCGTCAACTGATTTAGCTCTTGCGAGCATCAATCTAAGTGTGTGTGTCCTGGCATTTGACCTGACGGACTGGGTGATGAAAGAAAATAGAAATTGCCACTCAGGAAGAGACACGCCACTGTGTGAGTCGTTACATTGAGGATGTGTGAACTGGTGGAAAACAAAAGAACACACAAAAGCTTAATGACGAGAAGAATCAAGAATGCAAAAATTTATGAGCCTTGTTTGGGAGGCCCCGTCACAAGCGTCTACAACAAATCAATGCACCTCTCACTAGCTCCCTCGCAGATCCTGAGATGTGGGCATACATGAAGCCAAAAGAATCGGCAGATTTTGCTGATACAACTTAATAGCAATGGCCTCCAATCTAGAAGCGATGGCCTCCAACCTACTAGCGATGGCCTCCAGGTCAGTTCGTTTGACTCATTGCCGCATAAACATTCACTCACGAGTGTTCCTGGCAGGAAAAACACTGTACAATCTCTGTCACTCCATCTTCACTCTTCAGTCTCAAGCATTCAGCTCTATGATGATAGCCTCCAGTTCCATCTGATAGCGACGCACCTCACACCAAAATAGAAGCGACAGCTGCAGTGCAAATTCATGCTAAAGACTCACTGAAGACGTTGAAAAAAGGACAAGGCGTGTCTTTGAAGGATTTTTCGATGTATTATTGAACGCATAGTCATCCATAGTCCACAATAAGCTAGAGAAGCCATGAGGTGGTGCCGCTCCTCGCTGTCTCGCGCTTCCAAAGCTCTCCTGAGACTGAGAACCTGTCAGAGTCAAGAGCTTTGAACGCAGCAAACTTTGGGGTTTATACTTTGTTGGACTCAAGATCTGCATTTCTACAAGGTGTGATAGTGTTGGGCAGTGGAATTCCAAAAGTGCGCCACAAACAAAGTAAAGAACAAAATGTTGGAAAATGTGAGGAAACGGCAAGAGGCTGTTTAGAACACCCTTGACAAGTGAAACAAATACACGGCAGTACCAAGCAAGGGAGACATCATGAGACGCAAAGCCGACGCCCACGACCTGTGATCAAGCAAAGTAAGAAGGAAACCAGGACTCAGTAGGACGACAAAACCCGACAAATGAACATTAAGCCGTACGGATCAATCTCAAACACTAAGCACTGTGAAGATTCGTGATCGTTGAGTACATGTCGACACCTTCTTGTGGATGAACGGCCAGTGCCCATGCAGTTTGGTTCGGAGACACTGGGAAACAGCCCGGATTCCATCTGACATGTACTTGTCTTGGTGTCAAAGCACGCTCGCGCATCCGGGGAGCCCTTTTAGTTTCGTTGCTACAAATGATAAGATGTTGCAAATGCAAAGGTTGAGCCTCACCTGAGCATGTTGGCACTCAAAATATATAATGAAAAATCATGACCCCTGCCTTAAGTAGGGCCCTGGGTGGGGGGCCCTCAATTAATAGAATAAGTTAATTGAGGGGATACATACCTGATTTTTTGAAATTAATTGAAGGGTGTCTTTTACCTCAGTTAATTGTGTATAGCTTGGGCCCCCCCCCCCACACCCCCAAACTCATCGACACCTCACAAACCCCTCAATTAATTTCCACTCCCCAGGTGGCAAACCCCCCATCCACAGCCACGCCAACGGCACGCAAACCAAGCAGGAAAGCAACCATCACACTCAAAACCAAGCAACAAAAATTAATTCGGGGGGGTTGGCCTCTGGAGGAGGGGTCGAATAAATTAGTATACTAGCTTGATCCAAGGTAATTACACTGGGAACATGAAACTCGCATCGACATCCTTAGTTACTTTGGTTCCTCTCTCTGTCTCTCTCTCGCTCTCTCTCTCTCTCTCCGTAATAATCAATTGAGGGGTGTGTGACCTCTCCACCACCTCTTAGTTATTTTCTCAAGTAAATATGACCCTAGCTTGATCCAAAGTACACCGGGAGGATGCAATTTCTTTTTTTGTCCGACTTAGGTGTTTACCAAAATGGTCGACAAATTGTCAGAGAACAAAAAAGATTGAGAACATGTAATTCGTAGGTGACCCCCCCTTCCAAATAAATATTTAGTGGAGGAGTCATGAGAAATCAGGCCACATTCCACGGATTTTCCCAGCTTGAGGAAATGAGATCCGCACCTTTTCACACTTGTGCAACAAATGCCTACGGTGTTCGCACCGCAGTGATCCGTGGGATGAAAGACTCCCCCTTTTCGCTCACGCGAAAACTGTGATCATTTTGATCAGGGGCTCAAGGCATTTGCAAACTTGTAGGGCCTTTTGAGCACTTGGTTTTGTAGTACTCTGCCCTCATCCGATCCATGGTCCATCCTTTGGATGCATTTTCCTTTTGAAATCTGTTCCATGGATTTGTCGGAATCTTTTCAGCCGGCTGGCTGTCGTGTGAAGCAGAACTCTCCACCGCTCCTTTCAGCAGCTTCGAGGCTTTCTCTACGCTCTCAGCCGCGCGATCCGCTGCATCAGCCGCCCTCAAGGCGTTTCGAGCGGCCTTCTCTGCTTCTCCTACTGCTTCTGTCACGGCCTGGATGGCCGAGCTGCCGGAAGATGATGGTTGTTCTTCCTGCCTTTCACGAGCTTGAACTGCCCTTTGCCGTTGTCGCAAGGTCTCATGCGCTGTGAACGACCGATCAGCGCTGCCTTGCCATTTCATAGTCCTCACCATAGAGCTCTGCCGGGTCATAGTGCCTCCCCTTTGAGCTCCTTCTTGAGGCCTGGTTCTTTGGGCATCAACGCCCGTCATGTTTTCTTCTTCACAATCACCTTCCATCGTCACGGCATACTCCCTCTCCTCATAGTCCCGCGACCTTGTAGGTGTTCTTCGCACACTTGGTGGCTTCATACTCAATGGCGTAGAAACCATTTCATTCTCACTTTCTTCACCTTCTTCTGTGTGTTCTCCCGACTTGACACACAGCCGGCGAATGCAGCATCGAACCGCACCGCACATGGTCTTCATCACCCAAATCGCCCCGATGATCACCAGGACGATGCCGCACATCCATAAGGCATCCACTGAGGAAGATGCTTCTTGGGTGTTTTGAGTCGTTTCTCCCTGCGCTTCAGCCGCCTTGATCAGCAAGCCACCCACCACCAAGGCACGTAGAGCTCCTTGTTGGTCAGGTAGTTCATGAGGTTGTCCTCCCAAGGCAGCCTTGTTCATCTTGACCTCACCGGCCTTCAAGCCAAGATCTTCTAAGAAGCCTGCAAAGCTTTGACCGGCCAGGGGCTTTGTCATGCCATCTGCAACCAACTCCGTGCCACGTAGATGGTGGAGCTTCCAAGGTCCTCCGGGATATGAGCTCTGTCCATCCAAAGCTTCATGAAGAAGATGGGAGCGAACACGGAGGTGTCTGGTTCGCCATGATGACGTGCTGTTGCCATGGGCCAAACCAATCGCTGCGGCGTTGTCGCCATACAGAACTCGCTCCAGGGTGTTCTTGGCATTCAGCTCCTCCCCCCACATAGCACACCAGAGCGCTTCTGTTGCCCTGCCAGCTGTGAGCGCCTCGCAGTAGGACACTAGCTCCGATTCTGCAGTGCTGTGGGTGACAAAGGGTTGAGTAGAGCTTTGCCATGCAACTGGAGCTCCTGCTAGGCTCACAACCAAGCCCTGAACACTGCGATGCCCAGTGCCCGACCCATATGCAATGTCTGCAAACACTTCCAGCAGCTTCTCATGACGCGCCACCTTCAGTTGTCCACGAGCGCCCCACTTTTGCTTCACCCAGCGGGCATAGTGAAGATCTCCTGGATTGCCTTTGATGTAGGCGAGCAACACATGGGCCACCTCTATGGCTTTCACGGGATTGCGAGTCACCAGCCGGCTAACAGCCGCCACTCCATATGACAGGTCTGGACGCGACCGAGTTGAAAGCCAAAGGAGAGATCCAGCCAGCGCTTGAGCTGCACGAACTTTGTTTATGTCCACCTCCGGCTGTTGTTCACAATCGGCCTCTCCAAGCTTGAAATGCGGGAAGGACACGGATGAACTCACCTTCCAGCGGGCCAAAAGCTCTTGCTCATACTTCTGTTGCGAGATGTGATAGCCATCACCCTCCTCATCCATCGTGACTTCAAACCCACAGAGGTGCACTGGCGTGGTAGGTGACGCCCATTCAACACTGGAAGTTGCCCAGGTGGACTGCAAAGTTGTTAGGGCTGCTGCAATGGCTTCCTCCTCCCCTGACATCAAAATGTCATCAACGTAGACGGACATGAGGCCAGACCAGATTTCCTCCCCCGAGATCACGTCCGTTTCCTCTAGCCGCCATAGGTTGTCATCGGCCGTCTTGACAAAATAACCTCGGACATTGCGATCTCCTCGAACTCGAACCCAGCTCAGCGATGGCAATGTCAGATCGCGGTGCTTCGACCAATCCCGTGGAGAAGTCGTCAAGCCGTACATGGCCAACTTCACCAACCAAACTTCTCCTTCCTTGGCCAGGCCAAGTCTTTTGTAGACATTCGGAATCTCCATCGCAACAAGTTTGCCATCATCACGACGGGGTGCATTGAGAAATGCCACACGAATGTCCGTGGCTGCCAGGCTCCACCCTTTCAATGCCGACGTTCTTAGCAAGGCTCTCACTTGGCATCCATCGGCACCTCCTGCATAGCAATCGCTGCTGAAACGGGTGTCCGAGTAATTGCCGCACACCACAGCTCTTGCCCGTCGTTGGCCTGTTCCGGCCTTGCGAGTGTAGACCATTTTTGCTGGCAAAAGTTCAATGGTCTTCTGCTGCTTTTCGGCTCGATGGCGAAGCTCCCTTTTGGAAATTTGTTCAACCGCCTCCTTGGTCTTGACCAGTTGGCTATACTCGGCCGTAATGGATGGTACCCAGTTTTCAGTCATCCATGACCTCCTTATTGCCCACGGTTCAAGTGACCAAGAATTCTTCTTCCAACTCCTTCTGGTCCATCTCCAAGCCTTCTTGATCCGCTTTCAGCAAAATCTCCTCGGCTTCCACCTTGTGCATGATGGCTTCAGTGAGCACTCCCATATAGCACCCTTGCTCATGGCTGGTCACATCAACATGCTGCATCTCTTCGCCAACATACTCCGCCAGGTTCGCCTGGATCTTGCGAACAAAACCGACCTTCGTGAGAGGGGCATTCCCAAGTGCCACTTGCTTCAACGAGGCCACCAGGCGTGAGCCACCATCCTGGTTGTTAGGCGCCTCCGCCCACTCCCCACCTCCAGTTGAGTCCTCCTCCATCGAATGCGATGTACTCTGGGAAGCCCTCTCACTTGATGACGATCGGTCTGGCGTCTCGATGGTCCAGCTATCGCTGCTCACCTCACCTTCCAGCCTCAAGGCATCTTGTTGTGGTGAAGGATGATCAAACTGATCGCGATGCAGACAAAGCCACTTTTGGACCCACTCCTCCCCCTCCATGTGCAACATGGAAAGCTGCGGAATTGCTGTCTTTTCTCGAAGCCTGCGACGTGGAACACCACCCTCCCAAAAACCTCGAACCGGCGAATCGGGCAACTCAGGCAAGTGGACCAAGGCTTCTGCGGACTCAGGTTGGTCAGCATTGGGAACCACCACATCATCAGTATAAAAATACCTTTGTGTCTCAACCGACTGGACATAGTAGCTTGCGGTGGTCAAAGAGGATTGAATTGCGGGGCCCAAAACAAGAACTTCATCCCTGATCTCACGCCAGGGCTGATACCTATCTTGCCAGGATTTCTTCAATGCGAAGGCGCGAGCTCCAAAGTGCAAGAGCGGGCCCACTGGACAACCAAGGCTCCTCAACTGACCT